GTGGGTTATTGTATCGGTTTCCTTGGTATGGGCGGTTATTTCTACTCTGATTTTCCCGATCCCTGTTTTCATTCCATCTCTGGGTTCTGGGTTCATAATTCTCTCTTCCGTTCGGTCTATTTTCGTATCCCTGTCTAGGTATGAATTCTCGTCTTGTATAATCTCTTCTAAAATTTTGACCTCTATCTCTATATTCTTGGTTTCCTCTTTGTCTATAATTTTCTTGCGGTCTTCTTTCTCTTCTTTCATGCCTACGTGATTCTCTCATTTGCAAAAATTGACATAAGCTATCAATGTCCTTGTAATTTTGGAGATTTATGTGGTCTTCCAAGGTATCTTCAAAGTGTCGCGATATCAACTCTACCAATTGTTCTGATGAATAATTATATTGCAAATGTTTTGCATTATTATAGAGTTGTAATGCGTACATCTTTTCTGATACGCCCATCCTCTCATGGTATTTTCCATTTTGTAACTCTTTATTTACTTGTAGTTGCTGGATTTTTCCCCAGAAATAATTTAAGAATCTTCTCTCAAAATCTTGCCAATTGTCAAATTCTTCTTCCTTGCTGACAAACCAAAGATTTGCCTCTTCTTTGAGATGGTTTCTGATGGTTTCCTTTGCTGTTGCAAACGGTCCTATGTATTTGACTTTTTCCTTTAGGATATTTATAAAAGGCACTGGGTGTAGTTTCCTTATATCCCCGCCAAATCGTACTTTTACGTCTTCTGTGCTATGTACGATAACTTCCTTTCTTTCTATTCCTCTTATCTCCATCTCTGCAATTTGTTTAAATCTCCTTTCCGTTTCTTTCCGGTCTTCTTGTAGCGCATTTTCAAATTTTATTTCTATCTGTTCTAATTCCCTTTCTTGCATACTCTGAATATCCTTCATTTTAGTTTCCATTTCTTCTCTCTGCATCTCTAGTTTCCTCTCTGTTTCACTAACTTTTTCTAAACAGACTTTTACTTCATTTTCATATTTGTCCAAACGCTTTTCCATTTTTCTATCATTTTCTTCTAATTTCTGTTCTATTGCTTGTCTTGTTTTCCGTTGGTTTTCTTCGATTTTTAGTGATGTTTCTTTTTGGTTTTCTTGTATTTGTTGTGTCTGTAATTGCATCATTGCTAATAATTTTTCTAACATCCCTGTTTCTTTTCTTTCCTCTATTATTGTAACATTTCCTTCATTATCCGATCCTTCTTCAAACATTGTTTCCTCTTCTCTGTTATCCTCCTTCCTTTCTTGCATTTTGCTTTGACTCCTTGTGGTCGACATGTTGTTTTTGTCCCCGCCAAATATAAAATTCTACTGGTCTGTTGCAACAAACGGGACTTTTCTTGTTCAAATGTAATAACTCTTGAGTACGAGTATCAAATTTCAATATCCCACAAATAAATCAAATGGTAAAATATCAAATGTCAAAATCAATCAAATAAATCAAGTATGGTAAAATTATCAAATGTAAATATCACACAAATAAATCAATTATGGTAACCTCTAAATTGTCAATATCAAGAATAAATTAATTATGGTAAATTGTATCTTAAAAAAAAATATAAATCTTCAGTGTCCTCAAATTTTACATAATATTTCACTTTATCCACGGCATATAAACTTTCAAATATCTGCTCGTCTACTCCTATCCTTTCAAATTTGCCAACTAGAAATATTTTTCAAAGCTTTACACGTTGGGGGCCATTTTGTTATGCTATTTAAATTGTATTCTATTGCTTATTTAGAAAAGATCCTGTCTATATTTATTAAATGATCTAATCTCCAATTAATCACACTAAATCAGCATTAATTAATTACAATCTCAGGCTATTTTAACTTGTACTATTTACCTTTGATCGTGGATTCAAAATATTTTCCAATTGGCTTCCTAATTGGGATAGGTAATATGACCTGAATAAAATACACAGAATTTCAACTGAAGTATATGTGAGATGTCCTTTATTTTATTGAAATTTTATATAACAATCAATCCTTTAATATTTGCAATCCAATACTTTAAATATATGAGAAGTTGTTTTCTATCATGGACCCAAATGTTATTTTACACTGATTTTTAATATGTGTTATAACTAAGCTCTCTTTATAATTTTTTTTTTTAAATGATCGCAAAATTAACTGTCTCTATTATTTATTCAATTTATTTAATTAATAAATGAAAACCACACTCCTGCTCTAATGAAAATTGACTGACCTTTCGTTATCTGCCGTTGCAATTCTATGGCCACGCCATAAAAAAAAAACCTTTCTCTGCTTCTGCTCCTATTTTGGGTCCAGAAGACGTACACCTTTCTCCTATCTGTCCTTGTATCTGCAACCCAACAACTCGTGTAATTCTATGCAGCCTCCTTTTGAACCAATCTCCGCGCCTGTTTATAACTTCAAATGTTTCCGGCTTCGTCTGATATTAATATTCTTATACCCTTTGGTTTTTCTATCTCTCTGTACCCCGTTCCTCACACTGATCAGCTTTTACACAGCAAATAAACACACCCGGTAAATTACGTCTTCGGGACTTCAAACAAACACAAACCACAAAGCTCCTTCCTTCTTGGGCGACGAAAACTGACTAACTCCTTTCCTCTCTCCTATCTCATAGCTAAAACCACTCCCTCCTTGCATTCAAAAATTGACCAATAAAAATCTTCTACCTCTGTCACGTATATCGTTACCAACCAACTCTCTCTATAAAACGTCATTCGGGTAATTCCAGAAAACAACATTCTTTAATTATTCTAGCTAAATCTATCTGCTTTACAAATATTTCTTACTAATAGCTACAAACGATACCTGTTTCTCAATTCAATGTCTTTTGTTAATAAACTTTTACCGATATAATCTTTCGGGGGAAAAACCACCGCACATCCCTTTCTATTGTTTAAACACTTTCTATATACACTTTTATTACGGGTAAATCCATTCCACAATAACCGACTTATTTAAATTTCTTATCGATAATATTTGAAAGTCTTGTCTCTGAGGCCTAATGAACAATTCTTTGAACAACTTAAAATACATATTTTGTCTTATACAGGATGTTTGAAAATTTATATGCCCGTGTCATTATGAAATATCAATAATTTTAATTTTTATTTAAGTAATAAAATTTGTATATCGGTTTTTTATTGCTAACAGACATTCAAAAGTACAACAATATATATATATATATATATATATATATATATATATATATATATATATATATATATATACATGAATATGTAAGTTTTGCAATAAAAACTTTTCACGCAGAGTGTGTTATGTAACAGTGGCCAATACCAATTTTCTTATTTCAAATGCAATACCCTACATATTATTCAATTTTTGGATTCCTGAGAATATTCTAGATATATCTCATGTACAATGTACTATTTACATTAAAAAAAGAAAAATTATCTTAGTACAGAAATTGGCTACAACCCACTGAAAAACTAATAAGTGATTCTGTTAATTTTTTGGTAATGTAAAAAACCAAAAAATAACATTAATATGAACGAAGAGGATGTTCAAAATGCTCACCCCGAACATCTTGGCAACATCCTAGTCGTAAACAGAAATTTTTTCTAACGTTACTCAACATCTTAATATAGTAAGTCCACATTGGCGTGAGATCAAGAGATCGTGCTGGCCATTCAATCGATCCTCGCCTCATTATCCATCAATTTGGAAATATTCAGTTTAGGTACTACTGAAAATTAATGTGATAATGGACTGGTGTTCCATCTAGCTGAAAGTATATAATATTCGCTGTAACTTGTGGATGTACTGGATCAGGATGTAAGTTTGTCAAAGTTGGTATGATATTATTTAGTAGAACTGCTAAATAATTACCGCCATTCAATGCAATAATGAATTTCTGAGTTGGTATTTTATACATCTTCTTCTTTCAGCACCCTATCCGATTACCGAACGTTTGCGATCATATTGGCAATAATAACTCTGTTTACGGCGGCTCTAAATAAATTAGCGGTGGTCTCTTGATACCATTCTCGGAGATTTCGGAGCCAGGATGTTCTTCGTCGGCCTGGGAAACTCCTTCCGGCTATCTTACCCTGTATTATTAAGTGTAGAAGGTTATACCTCTCTGGATGTCTCATTACATGACCGAAATATTGTAACTTTCGAATTTTTATCGTTTTTGTTATTTCTGTGCTCTTTTTCATTTGATGAAAACTATTTCAAGTTATACATAATAATACATAATTTTGGACCATTACTTATTGCATTGCCTTACATGTCCAAACCTTTTCTATTTTATATTAATTGTCCCTTGGGATATAGGCGGAAATTTGGAAATGTTTCATGAAATAACCGAGTAACATCCATCTGTGTTCGTGTGTTGGTGTTGTCTCCATAGCCAATCATCAGTAAAATTGTTATTTTGTGTATTTCTGTGACTCATTATTCTGATAATCAGTTAATGAAATTCAATCGACTAAAAGACTAACAAGTGCTATCATATAGACAGACAACAATTTGATAAGATCAAGCGTTTTAAACTAAAGTAAACAAAATCATTCTAATTTTTTAAATCTGTAAACTAAAATCTGTTTACTAATCAGTAAAAGGGACACTGAAATAGTTTTTGCTTACTTTCTTATTTTCAAGACCTTCTTGATATGCCTATCTGTGACGAATTTTGACGATTATTATGAAAATTTTTATCGTTTGCAGCAGCGCGTAAAAACTGCACAAATATTGTGTTAAACCAGATTCTGAGATTCTGTAACCAGGATATTCGTCTTCCTGAACTTCCCTTGCAAATATTTTTCTTTGCAGGATGGCTTATAGAAGGTGTGCTATTTTGAGTCTGTTAGTTGTCATGTATTTTTTTGCATTTTTAGTGTACTATACCCAATATCTTTTAAATACAGCGCAGTCCAGCATGAATTCTGTGTGTTGCTATTAAGGTAGTGGTCTTAAATAAATTTCATCCCGTTTGAACTGCGAATCAATACGTTTCTGAGATTCCCTATATTTTTAGGTATATTATCAAGTTCTGATGATGAAGGCGATTCGTACAGTAGCGATGGAGAGGAAGGTAGTTTAGTCATAGACGCCAATGCTCAGAGTGGAGAAGTTAACCAACAGAACGGACACCCTGTAGATGTTTTAGGTTATAACAATAGTCCGAACGCCGACAGGCAGTGAAAACAACCAAAATATTGATGTTCCTTGATGGTAAGTACTTCAAATCATGTTAACTTTCGACACTAGGGAAAATCTGTAGTGCATGGATGGGAGCAAATGTTTTTCTTATGAAATAAAGTAGAAGAATATGTCTTGCTTATAGACTAATTATTAGAAAGTATGTTATTACAGTTCATTAGTTTAAGTATCATAGTAATTTTCTAGAATGAAGAAAAGGCATTGCACTATTGCCAAGCACCAAAAAAATCCAACAAACCATCTTAAATTATCGACTACAATGTCGGATATAGTAGAATAGATACCAACTTAATTACCTCCGTGTAGTGCATCCAACTAGGTGATAAAGACGTTAAGCTTATTGCCAAACTTTACTATCAACCAGGTATTATTAGTAGAAACAATAGTGAATCGAAATCAATCAGTGTTGAACGAGGTGTAACACAGGGTTGTATACTCTCCCTTTCACCTATCACCCTTTTTAAAGTGTATTCCAGAAGAAGATAGAATATAGATATGTACGCTTTAAAATATCATAGGAATTATCATAGTATAACGGGTGTTAGGTTATAGGGTGTAAGGTACACAACAGGGATAAGATTATTTCCGTGTTCCTTCGTATCTGGTACTTTAACTACACTGTAAATACAACTAGTAGCAACTATAGGTTGTAATAAATAAAATGCACATCACTGTGAGCGGTATAATTACCGAAAAGAACAATAACTTCTTAAAAATATACGAATATACGGAATAGAAATAATTAACAATATACGATACGTTGACGACACTATGATTCTAGCTGAAAACATCGACGATCTGCAAGAATTAATTAATAGAGTTGACATATGCAGAAATTGGAGACTATAAACATTCATAAAACTAAATGGACGGTGACCAGTAAAGTGGAAATCGGTCCAACCCAACTAATATTAAACCAACAAACGCTGAAAAGAGTACAACGATTCAAATACTTTGGGTGTTGGATTGCCCAAAATTTAAATCCGTTCTTCGAAATCGGATGTCAAATTGAACATACAAGAAGCACATTTCAAAAATCCAGACCCTTATTATCCAATAACTTATTGAATTTGCAAATACGTGAAAAGTTTGCAAGATTCTATGTATGGTCAGTACTTTTGTATGGATGTGAAACTTAGACTTTGTACGGCGGTACCATGGGTCAGCAGAAACAAAAACGAAGAAGATCCTCGAAGAATAGAATATCAACGAACTCTATGAAATATTATTAAAAGACGTAAGCTAGAATATCTTCTATTACTAGAATATGAGCTCGTTCGGCTGATTCTCAACGGTAAAAATTGAAGCAAAGAAATTAATCGGTCGGAAGAAATTCTTTTGGTTTGAGAAATTTGCGAAAATAGACGCAGAGAATAGAATATAAGCAGGTATACAATTTCAATATCCTACATATAGTAATATCGCGCTATAAGAAGTAGTCACTTCCGTGGGCACTCTCCAAGTGCCACGCTCTGTTTTTTATACCGCATGCCTTAATCTCTACACCGCACTTGGATTAATACACACTTAATTATATCTATAAAGTTAATCTACAAAATTCTTGAATCGCATATAAAAATTCATATGGAAGTTTTATGCACAACAATTCATTAGATTTTAACCCTGAGACAAATTGTAGAGAAAACACTGGAATACGGTGTAGACACGCACCACATATTTATAGACTACAAGGCAGCCTAGGACGCTATAAATAGAAGAGAATTGTTTAGAGCAATGATAGACCTAGGAGTACCAAATCAGTTGGTAAGTCTAACTAAACTAACCCTTGAAAAAGTTGAATGCAGAGTACAAATCCAGGGGGAACCCTCTTCTTCTTCTTCTCGTGCCACTCCTAGCGGAGATTGGAAATCATCATGGCCACTGCGACTTTGTTAGCAGCGCGCCTGAAAAGTTCAATCGAACTACACCCGAACCATTCACGTAGATTACGAAGCCACGATATTTTTCTTCTTCCCACACTTCTTTTGCCCTTAATTTTGCCCTGCATGATGTTTCTTAAAAGTTCGTACTTTTCACCTCTCACAATGTGCCCCAAGTATTCCATCTTTCTAGTTTTTATCTCATTTAGAATTTCGCATCTTTTGTTTAAAGTTTGGAGTACTTGCGTGTTAGTGACGCGGTCCATCCATGATATTCTGAGAATGCGCCTATAACACCACATCTGGAAAGCTTCGATGTTTTTTATGGTCAACTGTTTTAGTGTCCAAGCCTCAACTCCATATAACAGGGTAGAAAAGACATAACACCGCAGCATTCGTATTCGTAACTTTATATTGATATCACGATTGCAAAAGAGTTTGCGCATTCTATTAAAGACTGATCTAGCGATTTCTATTCTACATCTAATCTCTTTTGTTTGATCAGTATCGTCTGTGATCCAAGCACCTAGATATTTATAACAGGGCACACGCTCAATCGTTGTATTGTCTATTACAAGATTAGCTCTGATGTTCTTTGATTTCGTGATTACCATAAATTTAGTTTTTTTCAAATTAATTTTCAAGCCGTAACTGTTACAGTATATATTGAGACTTTGAACGAGATGTTGTAGTTCTACTAGCGTTCCCGTTAGGAGAACTGTATCGTCAGCATACCTTATATTGTTGATCGTCTCACCATTTATTATCAGACCAAGATCTTCTTCCTCGAGTGCTTGTTCACAGATAGCTTCACTATACAGATTAAATAAAAGTGGCGATAAGATACATCCCTGCCGGACTCCTCGACGGATTTGAATTTCTTCTGTTAGTCTGCCCTCAACCTTGACATTTGCTGTTTGATTCCAATATAGATTGCATATAATTCGAATATCTCGGCTGTCTATATTTTTCTTTATTAGAACTTGTCTTAGTGGTTCATGTTGTACTTTGTCAAAGGCCTTTTCGAAATCAATAAAGCAGGCGTAAATTTCTTGGTTCATGTCTAAGCATCTCTGTGAGAGAACGTTCATTGCAAACAGAGCCTCCCTTGTACCCAGCCCTTTTCTGAATCCCATCTGAGTGTTACTGATGTCTACGTCTAATTTCCTATAGATCCTATTATGGATTATTTTTAAGAACAGTTTTAGAGCATGACTCATCAAAGCTATCGTACGATATTCGTTGCATTCCTTTGTATTTGCCTTTTTTGGCAGTAGTATAAAGGTCGAACGGAGCCATTCCCTAGGTATTATTCCAGTTCTATATATTGTGTTAAATAGATCTAGGAGTATTTTAATAGATTCATCGTCCATAAGTTTGAGCAGTTCTACGAGAATTTCATCAGGACCGGGGGCCTTACCACTTTTTGCTTGTTTGATTGCATATTCTATTTCTTCTCTGATTATATCAGGCCCTGTATCGTCTGTATATTCGTTTGAGATTTCTTGTCTATCTTTTTCATCAAACAGTTGTGATATGTATTCTGTCCATCGGTTCATTTTTTGTTGTAAATCTGTTATAATTATACCATCTGTATCTTTGATCTGTCCTGTCTGTGTTGTTCTTCTCCTTCCTGTCATTTCTTTAATCTTTTTGTGTACATTAAAAAAGTCATATTTTCGCTCCAATTGTTCCAACTCATGGCATTGCTCACTTAGCCATCTTTCTCTAGCTTCTCTTATTTTCTTTTTTATCAGTTTATCTGTTTCTTTGTATCTTATCGGATTATTTGTTTTGTGTACCCTTCTTTCACGCATCAACTGTAGTATTTCCTCATTCATCCATTCTTTATGTTTCCTTTCTTTCGGTGTTAAATTTTCTCTCCCTGCCAACATTACGGCATGTTTAATATTCTCCCATTTTTGGTCTATGTTATCAGTATTTCTATTCAGTTTCTCTATATTTTGTAAATTTTCTTTGATGTTCACTATTGTTTTCTCTTTTATATATTGTTCATTCAGTCTTCTCACGTCAATTTGTTTCTGTATGTGTTTTTTAATGATCTTTAGTTTTATTCTTAATGTGACTACTACAGGATTATGATCCGGGCCTATATCTGCCCCTGGGTAGGTTTTAGCTGAGAGTATAGAGTTGCGGAATCTTTGACTAACAAGGACAAAGTCAATTTGGTTTCTGACTACTCTACCTTTGGTGTCACTCGGAGATTTCCATGTGTACAGTCGTCTGTTAGGTAACTTAAAAAGAGTGTTAGCAACTACTAACTCCTCCGCTTGACAAAATTGTACCATACGGTCTCCTCGTTCGTTTCGTTCTCCTAATCCATAGTCACCCACATAACCGTCTACACATCCATGTCCAATTTTGGCATTAAAATCGCCCATTACTACTGTAGTATGATGTTTCTTCATTGATTTTAGAATTTGTTCCAGATCGTAATAGAAACTTCCAATTTCATCATCATCTTTATCAGCCGTAGGAGCATATACTTGTATAATATTTATAATTTGTTTATTTGACTGAAGTTGTAGTGTCATTATTCTATCAGAGAAGGGAGTAAAGCTTGTTACACAGTTACTAATTTTCTTTGATACCAAGACAGCGACACCGTAACGATGAGTTGAACTGATAGGGGAACTCTCGGAACCTTTTAAAACAAATAACGGGCTACGTCAGGGAGACCCACTCTCCTGTATACTATTCAATCTAGCTCTGGAAAAAGTAATACGTACGTCACAAATCACAACTATCGGTTCAATATATAACAAATCTGTGCAAATATGCTGATGATATCAATATTGTTGGGAGAACGGAAAATGCAGCACGAGAGGCGTACGTAGCACTAAAGGAAGAGGCTTCAGAAATGGGTTTAATAATAAACACCAATAAAACGAAATACATGAAATAGGTACGCAACCACAAATACTACGGCCATTGTTTGTGTTTGAATTTGCACGGCTAATAGACGCTATTTTGGGCTTAATCTCTTTTTTAAATCTACAGTTATATCAAGAAATACAAAAGTAAAACTCTACAAAACAATAATACGCACAGTCCTAACATATGGTTCAGAAACCTGGACAT